GTAGATGATTGCACAGCTGGTCCCTTGTCGCCCCGCACACCACCTGGCCATCGCCATGATGATGGTCAAAGCTCCGCCCTGACCCCTTCTACAGGCTTGGATACCACCCCACGTCCACCCCCAAATCAGAGTCGACGTGGCCACGCCCCCTCTCCACCCTCCTTGCCATCCCCCCTCCTTCTCATATAACGTATTGTATCCACGGGGAAGTATGAATCATCTGGCAACATATTCCCCTGGAGTATTTGATCTTTGTTGCTACCACCTGCTGGGTTTCTTCTAAGCCGGGTTGTACGAGGTAGCGGAGGCTCGAGCCTCGTGAGCATTCCCAGGAAAGAAAACAGCATTAACATTTTCTCCGTTGACGATCTGAAATTAAGCAGCTTGTGACACGTGTGGACAGCATCCTCAATGTACCTTGAGCAAATTGTGGCCTGAGAATCAGCGATGGGGGAACTTTTGGAAATACAAAAAAAAAATGTTTATGATTGCCATTAGGAATCATTTTGCCAGCTCGAAATGAACCGAATAATATTTCGGCGTCCCAGAAATGCAGACACAGACAAAATGCGACAACAATAGACCCCGAATATAAGACGACCCCATTTCAATGCAAAAAACACCGTCTTATATCCGGGCCAATACGGTATAAACATATGTATACTTGTGACCAATTTGGCACACGGATTTAAAAAAAAAAAAAAATGACGTTTGGACATTTGGAGCGGACATGTCTCTCAATAAGAGGGGTTCAAAAGTAAACTCCCGGTACATATAATTTCCCTTTGCACTACAGGTGCATTTTTGCGGCACTAGAAATCAGTAAAGCTCCTCTTCCCAGTGTATGGATGCACTTGAAGTTGTTGTGCCGTTGAAGCTGAGGTGTGCATTACAAGATAGGTACCGTATTGGCTTCTGGCACTCGCATCACTTAAGGTGAGGAGACGTCTCGGCCGGCTTCCAGCTCGCTCTCTGTGGTCATTTATCAAGCGTCCAAGTGGATTTCTGTGCGTCCTCACTCGACCTCTATTGGCTGCTTATCCGTCACCCACCCCCCCCCCATTCCCCCCTCCTT